TGTCCAGATTTTGAACTTCCCAAAACTGGCAGAGCTCACTCAGAGTTAAGTGTTTTGCATCTACACAAGATCTGTTTCATGCTATTTTACCAGCAAAGGTAATGCTTCTCATAGATTTGCTGTTACATTGGTCACGTAGAAATGCAGCTCCAATACATTACAGTGGAGATAGGGGTGTAGAAATTAGTGGAACTTCTTTAGTCTATTCAAGTGTTATATTTTGAGCTACTTCAATAAGCTAATAATCACAAACCAGTACAAGCAGCTAAGAGGAGCCTACATACAAACATAACTTACAGCCCTTGTTGAGATGTGACTCTGGTATTATATGCCCCAGTCTACCGACTTCTTTGAAATTATTCCCAGCTCCTATTACCATAAATGAGACTGGAATTGGTTTTAACATGAATATGCAGTCTTAATGCATATACAATTATACAATGTATTCATGTATGTGAATAATTTACCTGTGCACAGAGTACTGACAAATACTGTCATTCTTATAAATTACCAGATTCAGATAAGACAAATATTTTTCCATGAAAGAGCTTGCATAATTACTATAATTAAAAATAATAATTTTGAAATTGAAAGCTCTTAAATCTTTTTGTCTGCTTAGCTTTACTATAGCATAGGTTTCTCATTACAGGCCTTAAAAATAATATTACTTGGAACTCATGGTTTATTTATTAATATATTGTTTTAAAGTTAGGAAGCCAATACTGACCCACTGCATTTTATCACTGTAACTGAATGGATGTTAGGACCAGCTGCTCCTGAATCTTTCATGGATAGAAAGAGGAGGTAAAAACCACCTAGAATGGTTCAGTTGATCCCTGACAATCACCTTTCTGGTAGCTGGGTTTATGGCTTTAGGTCTGAACAAGAAGGGCATGTTGGACTTCTGGACTTGAGGGAAATGCTACTCTGTGGTAAGAGATGTGCAGTGAATGACTAGGAAGTGTGTTTCACTTAAATTTGTAAAATTTAGAAGGCTGGTAAGGATAGGAACTAACAACAATGGTAATAAGAAAGCACATTACAGAAATCCCTACATTAAATGATCAGAAACCATACAAGAACATTGCAGAGATGTAAGATTTAAAAGACTGAAGCAAAGAATCAGCTCATGCTTGAGAAGACACATCTGAATTGGCAGCTAGGACTCACGGTCAGCTTTACCAGTCTTAAGACAGCAGCTACAGAAATACGAAACAAATGGCCGCAAGTGCTTCTGCGAAACTTAACTGGAGCAGAATGAGACCTGGCTTACCAGAGGGAGATTGCCACTTTGTGACACTTCCTTTTCTTATACCAGTTTATGGAACACAGGTGAAAACAGAAGGGTGCTCATGGGGAACCCAGCTTACAGGGCTACAACTTAACAGCGTGATGTTTCAACAGTACATTTGCAAGTTAGCAACTATGTGCAATCCGAGGAGCACCAAAAGGCACAGGGGCCAGGGGGTAGAGGACTGAAGGAAATTAAAAGCCAGTCTACCATCAGAAACGTGCTTCCTGAGGTTATGTGGAAACATCACTAGCCAGCAAACTCTTCAGAAAAGTTTTCCAAGTAATTCAAAGCTGAATTGATCACTCTGTACATACTTAATCTAACTTAAAGTCTTACCTTTTTATATATATTCTTGCCCTTCGCACCCCTTAAATCAGGGGAAGCGGCAGTAAATGCTGCTCTGAGCAAACCCTGCAGCCTGGCTCTCTGCAAGAACTCTTTGATCCAGCCCTCCTCCTCTCATTGCATTGTTGTCTCTTTCCCAATTCAGATTCAGACCCTCACTTCTGTTTTGAAAAAGCTGCTCACTTGCATGCTGAATGGAATCCTTATGTCCCATACCTTCAACTCCAAAAGGAACTTTAGTTTAGCTGCATTGCTTTAACTTCTGCTTGCTGATTTATCAGAAGCTGTTTGTGAACCCTTTTCAAGGATGACCTGGCATCAAATTTAAAAAGCCCTGGACTAAGTCCAGGTATTTCAGTTGTGTTTAGGCTTTCTCATTCAATGCAGGGCATCAGAAAGACATTTTCAGAACTTGTTTCTCCACTTCACTGGTTTTACAGCGTATAACGTTACTAAAGATTCACCAGAAACAACCTCTGGTTTTGCCACAGTTCTTTTCAAAGCACTTAGAAAACTGGAGGTATTAAAACCAGATCCCTTCTACTCTGTTAAAAACAGATTTCTGTAAATACTCCTGTAGGCACTATGACACTCATTCTTCCAGAGCTATAGAGACTTGCAACCAACAACTACAAAATACCTGCATTCTGAGAAATCGGGTGCTCAAAAGTACGGAGTGGCTACTCTGCAGCGTGCATCTCCGCCTTCTCCTTTCGAGTCAGAAAAAGATGACATGCTCTAGTTTTTGAGGCTCTTGTTTTCTACAAGGAAAAAAAGAAGATACAAATAAAACAAAAAGGAGCAACATACAGGCACAGTAATGGTGAGCACATCCTGGCCCACTCCAAACCTCATATTAAGATTTGATCCTCCAACTGCATGTACTCACAGCATCACAGTTGAAAACAACTCGATTTGAGCCTCAGTCAGTGGAAGTTGCCGCAGACATTCCAGAGCAACTATGAAAAGCTCAAAAAAAAAAAAAAAAAGAAAAAAAAAGAAAAAAAAGTGGTGCTACTATTCTGAAGTGAGGTTACTTCCTTCAACATCTGTGGTGAATATGTGATACAGGCTGCTATAAGCATCGCACGTATTTAAAACGAACAGGAGATGTTAAGGCTTGGTCCGGCCACGCTGCGGTCATTAGGAGGAGGGAGCTACACAAAAGCTTCATGAGATACATATGGTATTCTAGGGGCACCGAGGGCCTTGCCTGTTCTCGTAAATCTCCCATCCTGTTCAGACTTTAGAGAAATACAAAAACAAAAACACCTTTCAAAAACATAAAATATAAAATAGAGCTGAAAACATTTGCCTTAACAGTTCTCAGTACTCAGTTCTCAGATACTTAGCTTCTGTTTAGCTGGTAACATCTAAATTAATGTCTCCCCTTGCCTACTGCTTAAGGAAAAAAAAAAAAAAATCAATGAAATATCTGATAACATTTATTATATTACTTCCAATGGCTCATTACAATAACAACACTTCCTTACTACAGAATAAGTTAGTACCACTGTCAAAACAGTGTTCCCTACAGAGGAAATGTGTTTTCAAAATTATTGTTTGAACAGAAGTGAAGAATAGGTACTTATTCAATCACAAACGCCTACTTTTCTGAATCAACCAGAGGCATTAGTATTTGCTTTTATTAACACATACAAAATTGTTAGGATATACAAATGTGCTTCCTTTTCGGACACAGTTGTATTAATGGCCATTACAGCATTAGTTTACAGCACACTGTTTCAAAAAACAAACAAACAAACAAAAAAAAAACCAAAAAACAAACAAACAAAAAAAAAAAACAAGCAAACAAATGACACCATTCACAATTAAACAAATAGGTTTATATATATATATACACACACATATATATATAAAAAGAGCTCGAAATAGCTATATAACAAATAAGTGATTTACACTATCAAAAGGCTGGAAGCAGATGTGTCTCCAACAGTTGTGCCCTTAGCTTTCATCCACAATCTCCATGAATATGAGGTCTCATTTAAAACAAACAAAGAAAACCCCCACAACATTGGCCCCCACTTGCCAAAACAAAACAAACAACCAAAAGAATGGGACAGCTCTCCCCAGGCTTATAGCTCCTCTTGATGGCTTCGAGCACAAACGGGTTATTTTAAATATCACATAACCTACTGTAAATTAAAAAAATAGAAGATTACTTTACACAATGCATGGAAACCATTTCTACCGAACACAAACATTTACAACTGTCATGTTTTTTTCCTTGCATAACCCATACTCACACGCAATCCAGTTTTCAAAACAATTAATGAAATATTCAGTCCACTTTTGTTTTCTTTATACAATATGAAATGGTTACAATACCGTAGTATATTTTAGAATAAGTTAAACATCAAGACATATGGCAATAGCACTGTACTAGTCTTTCTACATACATACCAAATCCAGAAATTCAGTCCATTTTTATTTAGTCACAAAAATGAATAAAGACTAAGATCCAGTTATACTGGAAAGCTAGACTAGAAACCACAAATACTGTAAGCACTTTGGTATAATATGTACAGGTTGTGCTGCCAATATCATGCCTGCATACTACAACTGATCAGGTGATTTCACTTGGTGAATTAAAGAAGTTATTGTAAGACTTGCTTTAGTATTTCTTTTTCTGTATGGAAATCATTCAGTCAAAGAAGATGCACCACAAGAACATACACAGCTTTTGTATGATGTGACTACAAATTAAATATTAAAGTGAATTTTTAAATACAATGCAAGACCAATCTTAAGTGCATAGAACATAATGCAGAATACTGTTAATTACAGGGACAAGTACAGGGGTTTTAAACATTATAACAGATACTGAACAATGTCCTCATTAAAAGAGATATGAATTAGAGTAAGCTTTCCACCATTACATAGATCAACGTGTGTTTTACATCACCAGTAAAATGAACAGTAACTGATGTATCATGAAGGATATCTACTGCATCCATTCTCTCTCTCCCTCTCAAAGGCTTGGAGTTGCACCCTCAAACTCTCAAAGTAGATTGGATTTTCACATTGTTTCCCCCTTCCCCCCACCCCCACCCCCCCCCCTTTTTTTTTTATTTTAACAAAACGTTTTGTCTTCGTGAAAGAGAAACTCAAAGTGCATTTAAATTTATTTTCTTATTTCAATGGATGCATTTACTGTAGCTTAGAAATGTCAGCTAACAGTTTTCTTACCTCCTTGCTTACTTTCTTTTTGTCTCTACTACCTTTAAGAGCCTCCCAGTTAATTAGCAACCGTGCCAAGTTAAGTGGCCTCTCCTTTTGCAAAGTAAACAGTTTCAAATTCTAAAAAAAAAAAAAAAAAAAAACCTGAAATATTGCTATCTGTATTCAAGTGAAATTCCCACTTGAAGAGTAAGGACTGCAGGATTTCAGAAAATTTGGACTCCTTTAAATTTCAAGGTACAGTAAACTGCAAATGCCACATTCAATTAATACTGCAAGACAGCTTCAGATCCAGGTGTCAGGAATGAAATAGCCCCAAAACTCTCAAGCCAACCAGAGGAAACACCACCATTGTTACAATTTCTTATACAACACAACAACCCATTTTACATGTAAACACAAAGCTCTCATTTGAAGCCCCTATTGTTGGTAAATAATACTTCACAGATATTGGAAATATATTGGTTAATGACTCCATATCTCCTCCATTTCAAGGCTCCTTTCTCTTCCTTACAGAAGCTCTAGCTATTTCATATCAAACCAAACAATTGCACAAGAACTACAGCACCAAGCTTTGCTAAATGAAACTGCTGGAGAGCACACACACAGGAGAAAAGAATTTGACCATGGTTGTTGAGTGTACTGGAAGTCAAATGTGTTTAAATGAAGGTAACACATTCCTTAATTGAAATGATTAATTCCTGGAAGAAAAAAAAAAAAACCAACTGGATGAGCATGGTCACTGTAGGCTAGTTGGTGACCCAGCCAGACTTTTGTGTAGATTAGGGTTTTGACTGTGCCTGTTCCGACTGCGAACAGACGAAAACATAGTGTTGCAACCTGGGATTTTGCATTTGTGGAGCTGGCGGAGATGCACAGTTTTGTAGTGAGCCCTAAAAGTTCCCTTATTACTGTAAGTTTTTTGACATATGTGACAAGTTATTGGCAAACTGGAAGGTAAATTTATGAAGCTCTGATCAGCTTTCTCAATTAAATTACAGTCTTGGTAGAGTTCTTCACTGGGCATTAGGCTGGATCCTTCACAGCTTTCATCACTATCATCCAAGGGCATGGTGCACACTTCGCTTCCTCCATCAGAATCCCAAGAAGAATGAGCACTGCTCTCAGATTTAATGCTGGAAGTAGTGCTTAGATCCAGAACACCTCCATCATTCAATGGATCGTATCCGTAACTCTCAGAACAGGGTTCTCTAATTTTGCTCACTGGAAAAACCAAGCTGCCTGTTCTGTTCATTCCTTTGAAGATTACCGAAGTATGTCCAACATGCTGTTTTAAAGAGACATCTTGACAAAACTCCTTAGCCATGTCTTTCAAGAGGTATGTTGCATTGAAATGGTTGTTGAATTCCAGTGTATCTTTAGTCAGAAGCTTATGATGAAGATTTAGGTTTGAACTATGTCTAAAAGAACAAAGACAAGCTTAGCAAGAAAGTGTTTTGCCTCACTTAACAGTGGTTTCATAAGGATCATTAACAAAGAGAAAAATCAATATTTAGTAGCATGCAAGAACTGTATGCTTCTCATTTGAAGAACTGCCATAGAGGAGTGCACATGGATGATTTATACATATGACTGGCTATCTGAAATTGCTTATACTGGTATATATCAGAAATAACTCTACAGAAATCAATGTTTTCAATTCTGTCCTGCATTGTGGATAGCTGTTCACTCCACTAGATCTACTGCTGGGCCTAAAAGAGTTGGTGAACAGACTAAAGAATTCCAGGTGCCGAACTGAGCTCAGAAAATGGACTCAGGGTAAGACAAAAATGCAATCCTTCCCCAGTGGACAAAGCGGGAAAGGAGTGATACTTGAGACTGCAAAATATATTGATGATTTTAAGGACTGTAGCCATGTACCAAGAGGCAGCTACACACACCAGTACAGAGCTTTTACTTGAAAGGACTTTTTCTTGAATGAGGGGACATTGCGTTTCACACAACTTCCAGTTTTTGAATGGGCATCTCTGGATTCATTTTACAACCACCAAAACAAAATCACTACTTTTCATTGTATATATCATCAAGCGGCTCACTGGGAACTTCCAGACTCTGTTTAGAAGATTGAATTTATTTCAAGACAGGGAGAACATTCATTTTCCCTTGCCATCACCTAACTCAGCTTCATCCAAAGTATACCAAAGGACAAAGATACTTTTCACCTGCATTTACAGCGCTGTATGTTAAAAAAGAAGCTTTTGCAAAGTTGTTTCAAATAATTGCTCCTTTGCACAAAGCTTATAAATTTCCTTGTAGATTGACTTTTGTGCCCCTTTTGAAAAGTTAACTGCTTATTTACTTTATTAAGTGAATCATCTTCTAAAAAACAAAACAAAACAAAAAGCACCAACGAACAGAAATTAACTGAATATATTGGTATGGGAAGGAATTTGTGGCATGTGAATGCAAATTTTACTGCTGGCCTTCTTTCCTGTGGCCCATATCACAATTAGCGTGGAGAGGAATTCACATCTGGGAAGATGCAGGCAGCAGACCAGGGTATGAAGCCCTGCCAGCAGCAGATGGATCTGTACAGCTCACATGCAGCGGCCAGTCCTCAAAGACTGGCTCGTCCTTTCTGGACTACATCAGCTGGCTCCAGCACTCCTAGCAGATTACAGACAATCTAAACCTTGTGTCACTCTGAACTACTATCCAGGCACACTTTCTGCAGTCAAGATCTGCTATAACACTGTTATAGAAGTGTTAGAAAACTTACAAGGCTTAGTCCCACTTTAAACAGAACTGTTATCTACCACTTCTCAATTCAGATACATAACTGACAGACAACAGTAAAACTTCAGTTCTTGTTTCTCAGCCTATGGGCAAAATAGACTGAAATAAAATGACTAACAGCAACACAATACTGCAGCTAACAGTAAACTGAATGTGGCTCGTTATTGTTCAGGGTTTAGTATGCAATTTCACATTAAAGCACTACCAACACACACGAGACAGCATTACTTTGACTAGCAATGCGTAAGGTTGATTTTGCACTGACATAGAGTAATCTATCTTTTATTATAGGATTTCTCCAACGAGGTTGTTTGAAATCCTTGTGTAATGGAAGGACAAGTGTAAGTGAAGATTTCCTGAATTGATCTCATTGCTCTTTCATTTAAAAAAATACTGCATACAATTTAAAATACGCATGGAAGTACGCATTGAACATATAAGTCCACATATGCACCTACAGGAAAATAGCTGAATTCATACCCTCGTGGCTTTCCCTTTATGTTCTAAAGTATTCTCGCAACTATTGAAGACTTTATCAGCTGTGAAATTTTCATGGCTTTATTTAATACCTTGTAGTCTAGTGGAAAGGAAATGTTTCTTTCAATGGATTTTCACTTCATGAATGTTCTGATAAGTTATCGTACCTGTTATATGAGGATACACAGAAAATCTTTGCAGGCTCCATTCCTCCAACACTCATTTTAATTTCAAATTAGGCTCCATTGTGATGGTAAAATAAATACAATTTTGTTTATAATTTCTTACCTGTCTCGACTTCTACGAGAAGGGAAAGCAGCGTTACAGCCCTCAACTGTGCAAATATGCATTTCTTTGAGATGTACATTTTTAAAATGCATTTTTACACTGTAAGGGTTTTTAAAAGTCTTCTTACAGATGTCACAATGAAAGCGGCTTTCTTCCTTCTGAATCCCTAGTGCATGTTGGCTGACATGATCCATATCTTTAGAGTCTTCAAAACAAGCAATGGCAGCACCCCTGTTTGACAAAGTGCTGAAAAAGCCCCCGGTCAGCAAGTGATGTTGTAATTCAGGGCAGTCATCTTTAGAAATCCTGCGTTTTGACTGCTCTTTAACATATATGGGGGATTCAGTCATTGGTTTTATAACATCATTTTGGTGGTGTATTGGATCTTCGTATACAATCTCATGGGAAACTATTTTTAATGGTTGATTCTCTTCTGGTTTAACCTCTTTCTCACAGTGATGTAATTCATTCTCAGAGATATCCTTGATGTATTGGTTATCTGGCGCAAAGACAGATTCAAAATACTTTGGGCCCTCCACCCCAGAGACAGATTTCCATGAATTACCTGAATGGGGGTGATTTTCCACCCTGCCGGACACCTGCTTCTCTATCTTATGCTCACAGGACTCAAGCTCTCCATCGCTTACCACTTGCAGACGTGTATCATCTTCAGAACTGGCAACATCACTACTTTCATGAGGCGTTTCAACAACTTCTTTCTCTATCTTAATAGGCATGCTTGATTTACGGGATTTCTTCTTGGGTAGCACATCAAATGGCAATTCGTTTGAAATAAGCTGCTCAGGTATTGAGGAAGAAACAAGGGGCAGAGAAGGAAGAGTACCTGGAGTATTAGCCAGCTCAGCTGGTGTAACTGGACTACGATAGAAAGGAAGAACAGGCTGTACTGTTTTCAGATTTGGAAAGAGGACACCATTCTGTCCAATACTGGGAAATCCAGCCTGGCCCTTTGCATCTGTACAAGAGCTGGCATAACTGGTAATTGTTCTGCTATCCGGAGCTAGAATCGTAAATTCTGTCCTTTTACTATCTCCAGGTCCAGCAATTGTCAAACCGTTTCTTAGATCTTTGTCCCTGTTGTTTCTGTTCATCGGCATATGGAGTCTGGGGTTAGGATTCGCACTATGACGATTTCGACTACGCAAGGAGCTAAATACCATATTGCAGCCCTCGATTGTACATTTGTGCTTTATCTTCAGATGAACAGCATTATAGTGTATTTTCAAAGTACCCTTGTCATAAAACGTCTTTTCACATGCAGTGCAGAAAACACGCCCTTTTCTCGGCCCAGTGCCATTTTTTTCAACAGATTTCATTTTGGTTTCTGGAGAGAGTGATGTCATTTCAAGCTTTGCTGCTGCGTTATGTGAACTCGAATCGCTTAAAAGGGCATCATCTTCTGTTTTAGTGGTGACATCTGGACCATTTATGATCCTCTCATTTTCAACTTGAAATGGCGCAGAACTAGAAGTTAGGAAGCTGCTTTCAGTAAAAGGTAGGTGGATATCTTGTTTAGTTTCACTGCTATGGTCTTGACCCTGCTCAATCAAGTGTCTTTCTGGTGGTGAACCTATTAAAGGTGGAGGCACTGGACTGAAAAACTGGAATGGCAGCATGAAAGCCATGCTATTCACAATATTCTCAAAGGGATGAATGTTGGTGGGGCTCATTTTGTCCAAGGAAGCTGAAAAATTAGGGCTATGTTGATTGCAGCTCTCTATGAATGCCCTAATATCCAAATTAGCAGTAGGTGGTGGTATTATAATTGATTGCCCTTCTTTCTCCTGAATTGCCATTAACTCTACAATGGACTTAGTTTCTCCAAAACGAAGAAATTGCTGCAAAGTAGCCAGTTCTTCATCGTTGGTCATTATGCTCCAGTGATCCAGAACCTTTCCTGAAGCATCCTACAGCAAAACAAACAAACAAACAAATAAAAATTAATTAGTGAAATAGGAAAAAAGAAAACCCCTTCCCCCCTTCTCCCCCAATCTCCCCCCACAGACTAGAAACTCTTCAGCAAAATCATGAAATTACTCTATTTAACAAGAGATTAATAGTAATTCTGTGATATTTTCTTCAAATTTTACCACATTGGCTTTATTATTTCTTTCTGAACTAATAGTAATACTTTCCAATAAACTGCTCTTTTTCCACAAAAATTAAGACACATCATTTGAACAACAGCATTCTCAAACTATAGACAGCAGAGATGGAGCAATCAGATCAAGATTTAGCTCCTCATTTAAGTCAAGTACTCTTTAATTGCAAGTTTAATAATCTTCCAAGTAACTAAGATCAGAGAACAAATGAACCTGTATTGATCTATTGCCAGTGTTCACAGAGCACAGCTGTAATTACACTGGAGTGTTGGAGTTCTTTCAAACTCTAGCTATGCCTAACTTTTCCCAATAACTACAATAAATATTTTATCACAGAACATGTATTTGATGGCCTACTGAGATTTTTCACAGTGCATGTAAGAGTTTCTAAGATGATGAAGAACGTAACATTATAAATTTTTCATGTGGTAGAGGTTCAAGGTAATTGATTCCATATTTTTAATCCTAACACTAAAAAGCAAGATTATCAAGACCATTAAATATTGATTCGTGTCATAATGTAAGATCATCATATTACTTTACATAAAAGGTAACTTCCATAGTAGCAAGGACTAACATCAGGGTAAGCACACAGGGCCCAATTTATCCTTGATGCAGCTCCAGTAAGCTCAGGAGCACCACATCAGTGATGAAGATCGTCCCCTGTGCTTGAAATGATGGCAAGTTTATTTGTCAGTGTATTATTCTGCCATATTAAAGTAAACTTACTGGTTAAATAATATTTTGAGTAAATTTGGAAGCCTTTCCCAGTAACCTTCCCCCTCCCCCCCTTATTTATTTATTTATTTTGCTCCTTAGTTTCCTTTTATTGATAGATTTGAGCAAAGAGGAAAGATTTCAGTTAGGCTTAAGTAAGAGGAGAGCAATGACCAAAAACTAACCCCTCCTTTTCTGGTGCTACTCTTCTACAAATCTATTGCCTTTCAGATGTACTACATGGTTAGCACATTGTGAGCTAGTGAAAATATCAAGCTAGAAAATATTCTGAAACATGACTCAATTATCATAGTTACATTTAAAAAAACCCTCTTAATGCAATACCTGCAGCACATATCCACGTATATAATCCTGTAGTGTCCAATCCAGAGCATGGAGAATCTGTATCACCTCTTCCTGCTTCAGGACACTGAAAAGCCGATCTAGCAGAATTTTAAGGCGCACGGGAATAGCTTGGGTTCCATACAGCATGAGGCTACTGATATCAAAGACAACATTGGATTGAACTATTTCCACCTGGCTTGATGGATAGAGGTTGGGAATCCTTAATTTGCTCAGGGCTGTAAATAAAATCGTAAAACATAAGTAAACACAAGTAACAAGTGGTATGAAACTGAATGTAAAGACTATTGAGGAAGGCAGTACAACACGCAATAAAACAACACGTGAGGAAAGGTGTAGAATGTTTTATATAGGTTGTAAGAATAAGTATTACCATGTGCTACCCATCCATGGCGGCATTGGTCACATTGTCGCTGATTTATTTTCCCAGGTTTGAAACACTGACAACTACAGCTCACCAGAGTGCATCGGATAGCCTGCAAATCAATTGAAAGGTTGATATGTAATGGATAAGCACCATCTAGCTATACACATTACACCAAGACAAGCCTAATATATATGTAAGTTCATACAAGCTCATTCCTATTAACATGCAATATAATTAGTCCAGGCAAAACCTGCATTTAAACAGAGGTAGTATTGAAAGAAGAAAATTGGTCACCAGCTAAAGCACTGGAATGTGATGATAGTAAAGTATTTAGTGATATACCTAGCAACACTCCTGAGGATCTGCTTAGGCTGATGCACCTTTATAGCAAAAAGAAACTTTCCTGGGACATTTGTCTAAGATACGATCTTCATGTAAGCATCGCTTTTTTCATGAAAGCTTGAAAAGGACACACAGATGAGAGTTTTGCTGAATCTCTATAATTACAACAAATGAAGTGCTAATGAGCAATATTAGCTCTGCAGTGATACAACTCCTCATAGCCAGCAGTATCCACGTAGAATACGTGCATCCTGTCGTGCAGAAGTTCACTGACTTTTCCCAGTCATAGATTTCATCAAAAAGCACTCCCATCTCCTCAAAAATGATACTCTTACATTTTGCAGGGAAACGCTCGAAAGATAACAGGCAAAAGAGAACACACAAATAGCAATCAATTGCACTTCTCAATTTGTGCATCACTTTATCACCAAGATCATATATAATACAAATCAAAATAGTAGTCAAAAATTCCTAATCAACAAGGCAGCACAAGCTTGCTTCCTGGTATTTATGCTTTCTTCTGTACATGCCCATCTGCTGCAGAAGGCAGATACAACTTGGTGGTTCGTGTTAAAGCTCCATAGGCACTGCCACAGACCAAAGCATTTGTATGACTCTGTAACACTTAGATCTGAAAGGAATATTTATTGAGGGTGGAAAAGAAAAGACATTAATGTACAGAAGGTCTGAACTGGAATACAAGAAATATTAGATTACGTGATTGCAACATGCGCATGAATTTTTCTGTTCTTAAAACAAAATGGTTTCCATCTCAAAGTACAGAGAAGCAATATGAAGTAAGGCTAAGTTAAGCCTACTACTGGCTGCTGCTCAGACCTCCTTCGGTCTTATGCAAAGTGGGATCTTCCACTACTGAGTAATATCCAAGAAAATGCAAAAACAGGATTCAAAGGAAAAAAGTGACATCTTTTCCTCAGTGCTGGTATCCCCACACTAGCACTTCTGGCAAATGTACAAAGCAGCAAGTTTTTGGACAATCATGGTACAAAAGATGGAGATAGGAAATGCTTAAAATAAAGAGGGCATGGAAGAAAGGTGGTTTGAGCAGCGAGAAAATGGAGAATGAGGCTGGCTCAGGACAGAGGAGTGTACTACATAAAACAGTCTTCTATAAACAAGCATGTGCAGGAGATGGAATTCCTACTGCTTTACATGACAGCCTGGAATTTTCAAGTCTTGGTTGCTCACTTATCAAGGACTTAGCTTACAAGCACATCTTGATACCGAGACTCATCTTTATTTGAAGGATTGGAACAAGTGGCAACAGTGCTATTGAAATCTCTGAATCGTTTTGCCTTTAATCTTTTAAAGGAGTCATTGCAAAATACTGAATTCTTGAGAAAAGCTCTGTGCTCCCCATGAAGTCATAAAATACGCATCAATACCCTACACAGTGTGAATTGCTTCACTTTAATAGAGGATGCATTTTCATTTAGATGCTAAAATCCCTTAATATAACAATAAAAAGCCACAAATATCTTATGGAAAGGTCAAAAAAAGAGGCATGGTTTTCTGATGATTCATTTCTATCACAAAACACCAAACAATAACACAGTCTAATTCTTCTACTTCCGTAATACAGAATGTTCTGTGACTTGCACAAACTGAACTCCTTCCACAGCCCATCCCGCTGGGTTCAGTAAGCTGAATTCCACACATGCATCTTTTGCATTTGTAGACAGAACTACAAAAGCTCACATCCTACAACAGAAATAGATACGAGGAAAAAAGCTGTATGGTATGTGTGCTTGTCCTCCTGTCTTCCTCTATAGGTGTAAAAGATTTTACGTGTTAAAAGGGGTGCATTTTGTTTTACATGTGGGAAAGGAGCAATCAGACAGGGAGCATCATCCTCCTTATATTCAAAGTGCGGAATGAAGCCCTCCTCAAATCAATATATTAAAGCTTCTGGACGCCACTCTTCGATGTGGTTAGCTTGCATACTGTGAACATATCAGAACACCCCTAAATCAGTATCTGTTGCTGACTTAATAAAAAAAATTACTCATAAGAATCCTCAAGAGGAAATAAATGTCATTTTCAAGTTGGTATTGGTAGCATTTCCCATCATTCGTGGTTATTAGAGTCTGTTGCCTAAAACTTTTCCAGCAGCATCTGCAATAACACAGTCACAGAACAGAACACGGAAAAATTAACTTTTAAAACAATCTGCGAGTCACAACTTCAAATCTTTGCTCACTGCTCAACTTAAAAAGGCACTTCTAAAAGATGCATTTTGATTATCTCCCAAATCAACTTAGATCAGAGTTTAATGAACGAAAACATAACAAATCCATGAGATCAAAATGCTTGTCTTTTGCATGTTAATCCTGTTATCCTTAGTATGCCTAGTCTAAGGTGCTGTAATTATATCGAGTCTTTTAACGAGCTTTATTTTCCCAGCACGTGGAACATACACACAATTTCAGTCTGCAGAACAAAGGAAAAACTTTCTACACTGTAAAGCTTCAAAATCATAATTAAAGGATTGGATATGTAAAGGGAAATTAAAGTGGAAAGTTTTTTTCTGCAGCCCTTTCATTCAGGGCTATTATTTCATTTCTTTTTCCAGAAACATAGAGCAGATATTAATGTTAATAGAAATAAAAATAAAAATCTTCTGCTATCCTCAAGGATGTTGCTATTGTCTTCCAGCCCCTCTCCCTACCAGAAGGATTTCTCCAAACCCATCATTATAGTGACATTACTACTTTTCTTTTCTTGCATTGAAATTCCGATCAAATTTTCTGTGATTTTAGCAGCAAGGCTGTGAGAAGCTGAACCTTGGATTTTTAATGCAGGTGACTCTTAATTAAGAGAGATTAACCATTAAACCAGCCACCAAAAACCATCTAACTGCTCATAACCGAATAAGAAATCTTAGCCCTCCACTGCCTGAAAGTCATGACTGCTGACTTTTTCTTTTTTTTTTTTCCTTCCAGATATTGATGTAGTTTCAATTGTGCTTCAAAAGTTACCAAACATTTCTTTTCAACCCACTCTCAGCCTTCATGGCTGAAGAAAAGCACAAGATAATGGGACAAGTTCATTCTGATTCTTGCTAAAGAATCAGGCTTAATTTCAGAAAATACATCTGTGATCATCTATGCATTTTTGAAGCCCTTGTGGACATACGCTCACTTGCGATCGCAGTGTACTAACAACAGGCTGAAAACTGTGCAGTAAGAGAAGAAGGGCAAGAGGAGTGTTTGTGATTACCCAAAGATGCAGAGGAATAACTGTATCAAACCTCATTCCATGTTCAATGGAATCTAGTTTGACAGCTCTTCAGCATGGGAAACAAATTAAAGAGTAAATAATCCTGCAGATGCCGTCAGGCCTGAGCCATGGATCCCAGCCCACACTGGGACACAGGCTGGCTTTGCACACAGGAACCAAGGAATGGCAGAGCAAATCCCAGCTCCTCTGAGTACCACCCCACACCAGCGGTGCACAGGTCAGCACCCTGCCTTGCTCCTGTCACTCAGGGAAACCTCTTCTTCTCTTTGTATAAAAGCGATCGCTTGCTTTAGAAATGGCTTCTCAGATTGCTGCTGTCCCATGAAAAGCAGCAGAGCTTCACAGCTGCACGCTGCAGATGAACTATGAAATGGTGCCCCCAGTGCTGCCTCACGGACATTTCTTGCAACTAGGAATTAGAAATTCTTAGTTTAAAGTGCAAGTTTGGAGAAAAAGGGTATAATTACATGAACACAAATGTGTGAGAGCAGCTTTCCTTATGTGGGATGTAACACTAAGAATTTTTCATGTCATCATGGAGGGTTTCTAGCAACAGGCAGCATCTCTTACAACCACCTCACCTAATTGTCCCAGATGAATTTATCCCACTGTCCATTCCTTTGCCAGACAGCTTTAGCCACTTCCCTGGATATCTACTGCACAGATAAGTCCGTCTGTAAGTTCTGTCATGATTTAAAGCAAGTTTTCAATCTACATTTTGTCCATTTTACAAGCCTCCCTGCAGCACATCAATAGTTTTTCATTTCACCTGTCCCACAGATACTCGCAACCTTCAGCCTGCCTACTCTGCAGTATGTGTTTAGTCCTCATGGCTCTCCATGACAGACTTTGGTTTCTGCTCCTTTGTTGAGCTCCCTGCAGTTGGTTCAAATTATATGTTCCATCACAATCACAAAAGTTGGTGTGGTGCTCTAGATGGTGTAAAATCATAAATCAGTTATTGCAGGCTTAGCCCAACCCCTAAACCTAATAGTTCTGCATACTGATGTTAGAGCTTAGCATAAGCATCTTTTGTTCCTTGAAGATTCTAAGGCACTCCAACTTGAGGCAGGCCACAGCTCCCAGCTGCCCAGGGGGAGGCACAAAGGGCCATGCAGCACCTTAGGCTGTAGCCACTTCTCCTGACATGCTCACCTCAAAGAGGTGCCTGGATGGAAGCCCTTCCCTGCAAGAAAGCAGAGTGGGAAGGATACACACAGAATGGTGTTCACTGAGTGGTAACGCACATACGCAGGTCCAACAGTGAGGACAAGCTGAGGGCTACCTGCCCCGTGCCACAACCTGCACATGTTCAGCTCATTTCTGTGTGTTCAGTTTCATGCTATTGTGTGCTTAAGGCTATCAGGTATGGCTGAGGACAAAGCTGTACTGGTAAATCACGCACTGATTAACCAACACACCACTGATATTATTCATCACTGCCATCTTTGAAAGCCTTACACTTTGAAACAGGAGATTTTCCATTCACAGCACATTTATGCCAAC